GCAGGGCCGAAGCTTTTGCTGGGGCTCCGCTGCACTGCATGGGCGCCTGCTGTATGCACAGAAGACTAAGGCTGGGAAGGCTGGTGTTGAGGGGAACCAAACACCCCTTAGGCAAAAGAGGCCCAGCCTGGGCAGCCGCAGCCTTCAGGAAGTCCTAGTCCCCTTCCCAATGCAGACCTGCTGCTGCTGGACACACCAGAGTCACATGTTACATCAGAAAATGCTCTGGGACGGACACAGGGGACTCCAGAGGTCAGGGACACTGGGACACCGGGGGTTAAGGGGACACAGGAGACACTGGGGATGAGGGGACACTAGGAGATCAGGGGGACACAGGGGACTCCAGGGATCAAGGGGACTCAGGGGATACCAAGGGTCAGGAGACACAGAGACACCAGGGGACACAGGGACACCGGGGTCAGGGGACACCAGGGTTCAGGGAACGCAGGGGCATCAGGGGTCAGGGGGTCACAGGGCACACCAGGGGTCAGGGGGACACCAGGGGTCAGGAAAACACAGGGGACTCCAGGGGTCAGGGGTCACAAGGCACACCAGAGGTCGGGGATACAGGGGACACAAAGGTCAGGGGACACAGAGGATGCCAGGGGTCAAGGGGACCCAGGGGACACTGGGGGTAAGGGGTCACAGAGGACACCAGGGGTCGGGGGACCCAGGGGATACCGGGGGTCAGGGAGACACAGGGGACACCGGGGGTAAGGAGTCACAGGGGACACCAGGGGTCAGGGTACACAGGGACACCAGGGGTGAGGGGACCCGGGGCCACCAGGGGTAAGGGGACACAGAGGACACCAGGGGTAAGGGGTCACAGAGGACACGAGGTGTCAGGGTACATAGGGACACTAGGAGTCAGGGGACACAGGGGTCGGGGGACACAGGTCACCAGGCACCTCTGCAGCCATGCGGTCCAGTGAGTTGGCAGGCAGTGTCCCTGCGTATGCAGAGGCGCCTGGCACCCACATGTCAGGTCTGCACACCACTGTGCCTTTGCCCGTCTGCTCTGGAACCCTCTCTCGCTCCCACACCAGGACGTGCCCACTGCCCGGGCACCCAACTCCCCCCACTGCCTGAGAGCTCACACGGGGGATCCCCATAATCTGCAGCGGCGGGCGTCTGGTTCCACGCTGGACCTGCCCTCCCTCACCAGGCCCCCTTGCCAAGACCCGCAGCCGGGCACCTCCTCTCCACGTGCCAGCGCCGCAGTTGCTCCAGCCGCTCCTCCGCCAGGTGCCGCTGCTTCCTCATCCGCTCCTCCAGGAGCTTCCGAGCCCGGCTGCTGGGCTCCGTGGCAATGGGAAGGTCTGGGTTCACTTTCTTCTGGAAAGGAGAGGCAAGGCTCTGAGAGTAGGGACCTTGCCTTAGACAGGGATGCCGGGAGGGTCTTGGGGTGCAGGGAGAGGCCCAGAGACTAGAACTGTTGGGCTGAAATCTCCCAAAGACTTTTTTTTTTTTTTTGGAGACGGAGTCTCGCTCTTGTCTCCCAGGCCCACGTGCAGTGGTGTGGTCTTGGCTCACTGCAACCTCCGCCTCCCGGGTTCACACCATTCTCCTGCCTCAGCCTCCCGAGTAGCTGGGATAACAGGTGCGTGCCACCACATCTGGCTAATGTTTGTATTTTTAGTAAAGATTTCACTATGTTGGCCAGGCTGATCTCTAACTCCTGACCTCAAATGATCCGCCCACCTTGGCCTCCCAAAGTTCTGGGATGACAGGTGTGCGCCACCGCACCCGACCCAAGATACACTGTTGAGACGTGGAGCAAGACTTTGAAAACACAGAAAATCACCCCACCCTCTTAAGTTCATGGGATCACACGGGCAGAAGAGGCCCGACCAGAGGCGTCCCAGCGCCCGCCAGGGTCGAGCACACCCCGGACGGGTGTCGGGGCACCCCCTGCTGGACGCACCCGGTACTGCAGCCGGTGCCGCCGTCCCCTCACGTGCAGGTCCTTGGCGTTAAGGTCGTTGAAACTGCACTCGCACAGCTTACACTGGAAGCGAAGCACTCGCCCTTCCTCGCTGCACACCTGAGACACAAAACAGCCACACGCACACCAGGCACGAGGCCGGGGGGATGTGAGATGCTACCGACGCCAGGTCGCTGCGGAGCCTTCGTCCTTGCTGGTCATTTTATGTATGTATGTATGTATTTTCAGAGACAGGGTCTTGCTATGTTACCCAGGCTGGACGGCAGTGGCTCCATCTCGGCTCACTGCAGCCTCAAACTCCTGGGCTCAAGCGATCCTCCCACCTCAGCCCCCCGAGTAGCTGGGACCACAGGCATGCACCACCATGGGAGACGGGAGGATTGCTTGAGCCCAAGAGTTCAAGACCAGCCTGGTCAACATAGTGAGACCCCATCTCTACAAAAAAATAAAAATAAAAATAAAAAAATTAGCTGGGAGTGGTGGCTCACGCCTGTAGTCCCAGCTACTCAGGAGACTGAGGTGGGAGGATTGATTGAGCTCAGAAGTTTGAGGTTGTAGTGAGCCATGATGGCACCACTGCACTCCAGCCTCAGTGACAGAGCAAGACCCTGTCTCTTAAAGAATCCCAGGCCTGCAGTCAAGGCAGAGGAAACCCAGCCCCGCCTCTTTGGCACGCGCAAGGCCAACCAGGGTCTGAACCGCCGCTGGCCCGGGAACTGGCAGACCTGGCCCGGGAGCTTGGCTCCACTGCTCACTAGCCTGGCTTTGGCAAGTCCCAAGATCCCCCAGGCCCAGGAAAGGAGCTGGATGGAAGGGCCTCCAACCTCCCGGGGAGCTTTCTACTGCCCAGAGCCCTTCCACCTTCCAGACAGATGGCTCCAGGGGGCCCCCTGTTGGGAATGCCTCGGCCTGTCTCTGGCCCTCACGAGGCCATATTCATTTCCTGTTGGTATCCGAAATCTGGCACCCAAAGTGTCAAGCAGGTCTTGAACGGGGTTTGGTCTATGGAGGTCTGGCCTGTGCAGCTCGGGAACGGGGATGGGTCTGTAAATCCCACTGGGAGAAGCCGGGTGAGGTCTCGAAGCCTGACCCATGGGAAAGTCCTTCCCTGACCAGGGCTTGACAGCCTCAGCTTACCTCCTCCACATATTCTGGGCCCACCGGCTGCGCATCAGAGCAGCCCAGGGGAGCTTCCTCCGAGCCTCCTTGAGCGGGTGCTCCAGGACCCTCTGATTTGGGTTGGGCTGGTCTCCCCCTCTGGGGTCGGCAGCCTGCTATCTGCAGCTCAGGAGGCCCTGAGGAGAAAAACCATGTCACTGCCACCCTGTTCCAGGAGAAAGCACTGTGGCTGCGAACCAGCCAGGTGGCATGGGGTAGAGAGCCACCCAGACCCCAGGCGCTGCCTCCTGTGATGTCGGGGGGAATGGCCTCGGGCAGCGACCTCGCTCTCCCTTTCATGCCTGCGTGTGACCCAGCCAAGAAACCGAGGCCAGTTTCAATCCGTCAGTGGGGACGTCCTGGATTTAGGTCCTCGCTTGAGGAACCCACCGACAGCACAAAATCCACAGTTAATAGACGATGAAGTATCAGGCGGACCAAGGCTCGTACTTAACCTACCCCCGTTAGGCAAAATTATGGAGCCTCGGGTGAGACAAGTATCTTTGTTATCAGAATGACTTGATGGTTTGATCTTCAAAATCATGTTGCTATTCAAGAACCAAGGCTGCTGAGGTTAAAAACAGAATGCGGCTCCCTCAGCCCCTGCCCACGCACAGCACGGTGGTCCAGGGCAGAGACTCTTAGACAGACCCGGGTTCCAACTCCACCTCCATCGTTTACGGCTTTTCCATCTACACATTGAGACTGGTGACATTGACTTAAATGGGTTGTGGGCTGGGCACAGTGGCTCATGCCTGTAAACCCAGGGCTGTGGGAGGCTGAGGCAGGAGGATCGCTTAAGCCTAGGAGTTTCTGACCAGCCTGGGCAACATAGCAGAACCCCATCGCTACCAAAAAAAAAAAAAAATATATATATATATACACATACATATACACAAAAAGTAGTGGGATGTGGTGGTGCACACCTGTAGTCCTAGCTACTCAGGAGGCTGAGCTGGGAGGATCGCTTGAGCCCAGGAAGTGGAGGCTGCAGTGAGCCATGATCGCACCTCTGCACTGCAGCCCGGGTGACACAGTGAGACTGTCTCAGAAACAAAACAAACCACGGAAAAAAGAGTTGTCATGGAGGTAAAGTGAAGCAATGCACACAAAGCAGTGAGCGGATGCCTGGCATTTAATCCTGGTTAACGCGGGCCACCTCTGACAGCTGGGGCTTTGCACACAGGGAAGGTAGGGTCACAGGCAGAGGGGCGCAAGGATTCCACCTTCATTTCCTGGTACCCACATAACTCTGGTTCTGAGCCCAGTTTGTTCACTGTGACCACCAGGGTGTGCAGGGGAGCAGAGTCGAGGTGGCAGCCCAGGGAACCCGCTAGGTGCAGGGCGAGGGCTTCCAGTGAACCCCAGCACCCAGCACCAGCCCAAATTCTGCTGGAAGAGGCCGGGCACGGTGGCTTATGCCTGTGATCCCAGCACTTTGGGAGGCCGAGGATAGTGGATCACTTGAGGTCAGGAGTTCGAGACCAGCCTGGCCAACATGGTGAGACCCTGTCTCTACGAAAAATACAAAAATTCGCCGGGTGTGGTGGGGGGCGTCTGTAGTCCCAGCTACTTGGGAGGCTGAGGCAGGAGAATCGCTTGAACCCGGGAGGCAGAGGTTGCAGCGAGCTGAGATGGCACCACTGCACTCCAGCCTGGATGACAGAGCGAGGCTCCATCTCAAACCAAACCCCACACCACCCCCCAGAGGACGTGACGAAAACCAACTGGATGGTCGATTTTCTCACGAAATGTTCACTGGGCAGGGTGGCCAGGGCTCCCGTGGGTACGTGAACACGCACGCAGACACACATACCCTGGCATGAGGCCTTCAAGGCCACGGGTCTCTTGGTGAGTGCTGGCCTGCTCGGGGCACACACGCTGGGGCCAGTGGCAGATGCGGGCTTGGCCTCCACCCCGGGGGTGCTCTCTGTGGCCGGTGCAGGCTCCAGGGTGGGAATGGGCTTCCCCAGTTTGGTGTGCAGCTTGAAGACCTGCAACAGACAGAGCCGGGCTCCTGTGTGAGGGCCGCTCCCAGACTGATGGCCTTTTCAAGAGGCAGGAAGGGCCTCCACGAGCGGGCAGCGGGAGTGCGGGCGGGCAGCGGGAGTGCAGGCGGGCAGCGGGAGTGTGGGCGGGCTGGTCCCGGGGACCCTGCCTCTTCTCTCCTCCTGCTCTCTGGATATCACCCACTCCAGAAGGCCCTTCCCAGGTGGCCTCCTGCCTTGCACACGTGCTTGTGAGTCCTCTAGCGCGGTGACACTCCTCTGACGTGTGAGCACGTGGCTCACCGGCTCACGTGGACGCTCTTCCTCCTCTTCCACCACGTGGGCTGCCAGATGGGGCGTCTCAACCTCCCAAGCCCCATCCTAGTGCCCCCGACTGCCCGGGACTCAGCGTGTGTGGACGGATGGTGGGTGTGCATGCGTCCCTGGACGGACACCCACGTTCTGCACGCGCGTGTGCACGTGGTCACGTCCGTATTCTGGCCGTGCCCTATTCTCAGCCCCTCCGGATGCAAGGCGCTTCTGGCAAAGGTGTCGTGTGCACAGGGCCGCGATGTGTGCTGGGGACCATCTCAGACACATTTGCCAGCTCCGAGTCTCTGACACGCGCTGCACAAGACCTGCCCTGTAACCCCCGACCCCACAATGGGTGGCAGGGCCTGCCTAACCCCCAGACCAAGCCCCAGCCTGTGGGGGTGATGCCTGCAGCTCTGCCCCACCGGCCCCAGGCCAGTGAGTCTCCTTCCCCCGTTTCTCTGCCCCCCTCCTTCCCTCCTCCATGCCTCCCTGCGCATTCCTCTTTCCCCTGTGGGTTCACACAGGCCCTCAGCAAGCTGTCCTGAGCCGAGCCAGGGAATGAGGCCCTGGATGAGCCTTCAGGCAGCTGAGGGAAAGAAGCCAGGTCCTCGGCCAGGCCTCCCAGGGTGGCTCAGCCTGACAGCCCGGGCTACAGCACAAGCCAGCTGTTCCCCTCCCTGCCCTCAGGTGGGGACTCCGTCCCCTCCCGGCCGAATTTGACATAACCCAGGCCTTTTTTCTTTTTTTTTGAGACCGAGCCTTGCTCTGTCGCACAGGCTGGAGTGCAGTGGTGAGATCTCAGCTCACTGCAACCTCCACCTACCGGGTTCAAGCAATTCTCCTGCCTCAGCCTCCTGAATAGCTGAGGTTACAGGCGTGCACCCCCACGCCCAGCTAATTTTTGTATTTTTTAGTAGAGACAGGGTTTCACCATGTTGGCCAGGCTGGTCTCAGACTCCCGACCTCACGTGACCCACTCGCCTCGGCCTCCCAAAGTGCTGGGATTACAGGCATGAGCCACCGTGCCCGGCCTAACCCAGGCCTTTTAAGGCCACAGGAGAACAGTGATGATTACAGCAGCGAGTGTGAAGAGCAAGACCCCAAAGGGAACACAGCATTGGATCTCATCACAAGGCAAGCCCTGTCCGTCGCCACGCCTGAATGCCAAGCTTTCTTGGAAGTCTGGGTGTGAGTGTCTTGGCCACTTCATGTTTTTGTGCAATGAGGAGGAACCCCTTTTATAAGTCGAAAGGAGTCCAGGTGCAGTGGCTCACGCCTGTAATCCCAGCACTTTGGGGGGCTGAGGCAGACAGATCACTTGAGCTCAAGAGTTCCAGACCAGCCTGGCAAACAAGGTGAAACCCCGTCTCTACTAAAAATACAAAAATTAGCCGGGTGCGGCGGTGGGTGCCTGTAATCCCAGCTACTCGAGGGGCTGAGGCATGAGAATTGCTTGAACCCAGGAAGCAGAGTTTGCAGTGAGCCGAGGTCACACCACTGCACTCCAGCCTGGGGGACAGAGTGAGATTTTGTCTCATTTAGAAAACACAATAAAATGAAAAATAAGATAAAATGACTGGAAAGGAGTTTGGATCCTTGAAGATGAGGACACATGGGCCTGGGCAGCCGGCCCTTGGGCGCGCTCCACTTGGGGAAGCTTCTCCGGGCTCCCTCTGATCTCAGCAGGCATCTCTGTGGGTCCTAAGTGCTGACCTGGGGGCCTCCTCCCCAGGGGTGGCAGAGCCTGGGATGGGTGGGGCCGTACCTTCTGGTGCTTGGCTCCCCGGATGTGGGCCGTGTAGGCGTCTGCCCCAGTGCAGGACACGGCGCACAGGTCACAATGTAGCTGCGCCTGCACCCCGCGCGGGCTCCCGTTGGGCTGCACGCCTGTCTTCTGGGCCGCCTCCTTCTTTCTGTGCTTCTGCCCTCCCAGATGTTCCCGGTAGGTCTGCAGCAAGGGGTGAGAGGTAGCGTGAGTGGGGGTTTGCACACTGGCCACGCCCCCTCCCCTGCAGGCCCCCAGCTTAGCGCGCAGGAACTCGGTGGTAACAGACGCCCACTGTCCCCAGCCCTCCATCCCCTGGTGCCACGGAGGTTCAAGCGTCCCTTTATTCTTCTTATTTTTATTTTTTATTTTTTGAGACAGTCTCGCTCTGTTGCCCAGGCTGGTGTGCAGTGGCGCAATCTCAGCTCACTGCAACCTCTGCCTCCTGGGTTCAAGTGATTCTCCGTCCTCAGCCTCCCAAGTAGGTGGGACTACAGGCGCGTGCCACCATGCCCGAATAATTTTTGTATTTTTAGTAGAGACGGGGTTTCACTATGTTAGCCAAGCTGGTCTTGAACTCCTGACCTCAAGTATCCACCTGCTTTGGCCCCCCAAAGTGCTGGGATGACAGGAGCACACCACCACGCCCAGCCTATCTTCTTACTATAGACTTCTCGAATTTTTTTTTTTTTTTGAGACAGGGTTATGCCCTGTCACCCAGGCTGGAGTGCAGTGGCGCTATCTCAGCTCAGTGCAACCTCTACCTCCTGGGTTCAAGCGGTTCTCCTGCCTCAGCCTCCCAAGTAGCTGGGACTACAGGTGCCCGCCACCACGCCCGGCTAATTCAAGCGTCCCTTCATGAAGCCCACGTAACAAACCCACAGGCTCAGACTGCTAGACATAAGGCTTCTCCCTTCTTCTGAAACTCAAGGAGTTTCTTAGGAAAGCATGCTCCACGCATCACGCGTTCCTTTCAGGGGCTGCTGTATACAGAAAATTCTGACTTTTCAGAATTCAACCTTGGAAACCAAGCAAGGGCACCTGCTGCCCGAAGGACAGTCATGTACACTTCCGTCTTAGGAAACTGCTAATAGACACAGGGGCTCCACCCGGGGAAAGCTACCGTGAGTCACAGGCCTACGCATCCGGTACTCCTGGGCCCAAAATATCTGATTGCATCTGGGGAAGCGACAGCCAAGCCCTCAGGCGGAATCCTGGGTGTGCTGCTTAAAATCCGGAAACGAAGCCCACCACAGACAAGACGTGGCAGGTGGGCCACGAAACCCACACGCCCTGACAATGCCAAGAATGAACGTTCTGCAGACTGAAAAGTGCCCCTGAAAATACTGGGGCACACTGGACACTGCCCCCTCCCCTGCGGGCCACCGGCTTAGCGCTCAGGAACTCAGTGACATCGTCTGGTTTTAGGGAAGAAAAATAGGATGTGGGAGAGGCACACATTTTACTGTATGTATGCTCTCTAGAACTTAGGAATCTTTTTTTTTTAGATGGAATCTCACTGTCACCCAGGTTGGAATGCAGTGGGGCAATCTCAGCTCACTGCAACCTCCGCCTCCCAGGTTCACGCCATTCTCCTGCCTCAGCCTCCCAAGTAGCTAGGACTACAGGCACCCGCCACCGTGCCCGGCTAATTTTTGTATTTTAGTCGAGACGGGTTTTCACCATGTTGGCCAGGCTGGTGTCGAACTCCTGATCTCAGGCAATCCTCCTGCCTCAGCCTTGCAAAGTGCTGGGATTACAGGCACAAGCCGCCGCGTCCGGCCAATAGGCTGTCTGTGCGCACTTTTGGCGTATTCTGGAATAACTAGCCACATGGGCTTCAACACATCTTGGTTTGATTTCTGCCTAGGTCACTGAAACTGACTCTGAGTTCCTCAAAGTACTGACCCTTTCTGAACCTCTGGGATTTTGTCTGCCACACAGAGATGGTAACCACAAGGCAGATATAAGGATTAAATAACCCACATGGGTCTGGTGCAGGGACTCAGCTTGTCATCCTGGCACTATGCGAGGCTGAGGCAGGAGGATTCCTTGAGGTTAGGAGTTCGAGACCAGCCTGGGCAACATAGTGAGACCCCCATCTCTACTGAAAATAAAAATAATTAGCTGGGCATGGTGGTTCGTACCTGTCTCAGCTACTTGGAAGGCTGAGAGGAGGACCTGAACTCAGGAGGTGGAGGCTGTAGTGAGCTCTGATTGCACCACTGCACTCTAGCCTCAGCAACAGAGCGAGACCCCCTGTCTCCAAAAAAAAAAAAAAAAAAACACACACACACACACAAAAACAAACACCTCAAACTTGTATCCGAGCACTCTGCAAAGAAGGCCAGGGTCTCTCCTAGCATGAGATGCGGTGGAGAGCTGCCGGGGCAAAGCGCCTGAGACAGGGAAAGGGTGATCTGTGGCGGGAGGGGTCCCGAGCAGGGCCGGGCCCCCCATCCCCAGCTGGGTTGGGGGTCCTGATAGGGTGTCCTGAGCCATCTCACACCTCTCAGAGACTCCGCGGTCTCTCGCGGTCCAGAGCTTGCTTTCAGAGCATTCAAAACAAAAGATCAGGGTGTGTGTTTTGCAAAGATAGAGCTCTAGGGTCTGATTATCTTTCCAGGAAACGAGGCCACGATCTCTGCGGGGTGATCTGCAAGCTTTAAAACCTCAAGCGCGTGCGTTTGGTAAAGTGTCTTTCACGTGTGCCCCAGACAAGCACTGCCACACACAAGCACACGTGCACCCACACACAGGCGCAGGCACACACATACACACGCAGGCACACACGCGCACACATGCACGCACACATACACGCACACTCCCGTTTGCACACACATATGCACACATATACACAAGCATAAACACACACACACTTGCACACACGCACACATACGCACCCTTGCAGTCACACACGCACACACACGCACCCTTGCACTCACACACACACACACAAGCGCTTGCACACACAGGCACATGCATACACCATGCAAGTTTAACACTGGACCTTTTTTCAGCAGGCAGCGACCCTGACCCCCCGGCGCCCACATTTGGGTTCAGACCTTAGGAACAGAGAGGTCCCGCCCACGGCGGGAGGGCGACTGACCTGGGGGCCCGCGCAGCTGATCTTGCAGATGTCGCAGTAGTGAAGCTGGAGCTGCCTGGGCCCGGCCTTGGGTCTCGGCAGTTTGCTGGGAAGCGGCGGCTTCGAGTCGGCCCTGGGGCTGCTTCCTGAGCCTGCGGGCGTGGGCGGCGGGGGCAGCTGCTGCAGGGGTCCCGGGGGAGGCGGGGGCTGCGCTGGAGGATAGAAAGGGCTGGCGGCGGAGTACACCGAGGCGTCATAGCTCGGGTAGCTTGGTGCTAAGGAGCAGAGAAAACAGTGAGTCGGGGGGGAGATGCTGATTCCACTCAAGTTGAAACGGAGGCCGACGGACCGACCGCCTGGGCAAGGAACGCTGGTCTTACCCGTGTAGGCGGTGCAGGTGGGATCGTAGGAGGGCGCGGGGTAGGAGGTCACGATGGACACCGAGGACTCGGGCTGGACGCCTGTCGCCGTGGGGTAGGTGTATCCCGAGGACAGGGCGCTGGCTGGCTGTCCGGCCTCCACTCTGGGCGCCTGTTGTGGGGGCTGAGCGCAGCTGTGACCGCCATGGGGGCTGGGCTGCCTGCAGGCCTCTTGGGTCCCTAGGGGACAGGCACAGGTCCTCTGCAGAGCCAGCCCCCACCCCACTGCCCCTCACCTGCGGATGGACCCCGGGCTCAACTGGCTGGAAACGCTAGATGCTTAAGCTGGGACCAGAGGTCAGAGCCTAGGGCCAGGTCCGGGCAGGGACTCGCGGGTGACCTTGTTCCCACCTCTCCTTTCTAGAGCCCAGCTTCTCCCTCCTGCCGTGGGGGAGGAGGGCTCCTCCACGTCTCCGGCTCCTTCACCCACAGAGCTCACCTCCTGCCACCCGGGGAAAGCTTCCTTGGAAAAAATGTTAGCTGCATTTTAGGTTCTCACTTTCCCTCATTCATAGGCCCACACCTGGCAGAGATCCCAGGGCCCATGTGAGCAGCCAGCCCTGAGGCTCACCTGCAAATCTAGGATGTTTTTATTATTATTATTATTATTATTATTATTACTGAGACAGAGTCTCGCTGTCGCCCAGGCTGGACTGCAGTGGCGCAATCTTGGCTTACTGCAACCTCTGCTTCCCAGGTTCAAGTAATTCTCCTGCCTCAGCCTCCCGAATAGCTGGGATTACAAGCATGCGCCACCACGCCCGGCTAATTTTTCTATTTTTAGTAGAGACGGGGGTTTCACCATGTTGACCAGGATGGTCTTGATCACTTGACCTTGTGATCCGCCCACCTCAGCCTCCCAAAGTGCTGGGATTACAGGTGTGAGCCACTAGCCTTTATTTTGTTTTTTTTTTTTTTAGAGACAGGGTCTCGCTCTGCTGTCCAGGCTGGAGTGCAGTGGTGCAATCACAGCTCACTGCAGCTTAGTTCCTGGGCTCAGGCGAACCTCCTATCTCAGCCTCCTGGGTAGCTGGGACTATATGTGCACACCACCATGCCTAGCTAACTTTTTTGCATTTTTTGTAGAGACAGGGTCTTACTATGTTGCCCAGGCTGGTCTCGAACTCCTAGGCTCAAGCAATTCTCGCACCTTGTTTGGGCCTCCTAAAGTGTTGGGATTACAGGCATGAACTACCTTGCGCCACCTCTAGGATGGTTGAGATGTAACTTTCACCAGTGCAGTGGCTCACACCTGTAATCCCAGCACTTTGGGAGGCTGAGGCAGGCAGATCACCTGAGGTCAGGAGTTCAATACCAGCCTAACATGGTGAAACCCTGTTTCTACTAAAAATACAAAAAGTTAGCCAGGCATGGTGACTCGCACCTCTAGTCCCAGCTACTTGGGAGGCTGAGGCAGGAGGATCGTTTGAACCCGGGAGGCGGAGGGTGCAGTGAGCTGAGATCACACCCCTGTACTCCAGCCTGGGCAACAGACGACACTCCATCTCAAAAAAAAAAAAAAAAGAAAGAAAGAAAAGATATAACTTTCAGGCCGGGCATGGTGGCTCATGCCTGTAATCCCAGCACTTTGGGAGGCCAAGGTGGGCGGATCACGAGGTCAGGAGATCGAGACTATCCTGGC